GAATCATACGCGCAGTTAATTTGAGAGAAATTAACCAGAATGCTGAGTTGCAAATAAATTATTATAAGTTTAGCCCGCAAAATTTATTTGCACTTCCTTCGAATCCAATCGCAATTGTCATTGTGAATTAATTTTTACAGTGAATTAAGTTAATGTTTTTGTATACTTGTGAAAAGTTGACTGAATTTGACCTGGAATTTCGGTACTCTAAATCTATATCTATAATGTCTAAGGGAGATTTAGCATGAGGACGTGAACGTCAAAGACGACGTGAAAGTGGCGAGTTAATGGCGTGGCATGTCCATATTTGGGCGCATTACGCCATTTATTCGCCATTTTCACGTCGTCTTTGACGTTCACGTTCTCGTGCTAAATCGCCCAGGGGCGGCGGAACCACGGGGGCAGCGGGGGAAGCCATATGCGTTTTTCTACCATATAAAAGTATAATAAATTCAACATTTAATCATGATGCCTACTTTTCGCATAAAAAATAACCGGTGTAATTATTGAAAATGCGTTCTCCCGTTGATTTGCAAGTTCGCATGAACTTGTAAATTTGAGCTTCCTCATCATGTGGTTGCTAAGGTAAAATGGATGTGCCCTTTTCTAAAACTCTGCCTCCTAAACTGCTTCCGGCGCACCTGAAATCGCCGTAATAATAGGCAGTGACTACGAGTAAAAAGCAATGTAATGTATTAATATATGCAGTGCTGTAAGTGGTTAACCCAATATTTCCAAAGTGTATATTAAACAATAAGAAGAATTCTTATAGAGACCATAATAATAAATTTGTCGACATTATTTTTAGCGGGCAAAACTAAGCGATGCACGGAGACATATATTTTGTCCTTTATTGTCATTATAACATTATCAGTTTAACAATTATTCGCCGAAGGCGGGGTGAATATCGTTTATTTTTATTTAGCGATATTCATCGAGCCTGCATAAGGTGAGTAACTGTTTTAGTATAATTCTATAATCCGAGGTCGCTTGACCAATCAGAGGCCAGAATTTTCAATAAACACCTTTGTAATATTACTAAAATTTTATTATTCTAATACATTGCAGTTTTTTTTATCGTGCATAATATTTATTTATTATTATATGATCTAGGTGCCTTGTGTTTACGAAGCACGGTTACCGGAGCCCAATTTTCATCTTCCTGAATTCGGATCTTTTGACCAATCTCATGCGGCGGTAGTTCAGGGCTTACTTTTTTATCATAACCAGTTTTTTGAATCAGCTTTTTTTGATCTAACACCTTTTTTAACCTGTTCAGCGGTTTCGGTCATCAACAACGACTTTTTTATGGGTATGACCGACTTCAAGCGTCGATTCATCAGTAGTTGTGACGGCGAATACCCAATTTCCTCCAGAGGGGGATTTCTATAATTCAACAACGTTTTACATGGATCTTGAGATTGCTTTAAAATATTCTTCAACGTTCGCACCGCTCTATCCGCATCCCCGTTTGACTGCGGGTATCGCGAACTTGATGTTTCATGCTTAAACCCATAACTCTTCTCAACCTCGTACCCAGGGTCTTTACTCTACTCGTGGGGGAGTACTCCCACGAGGTTGAACTCTTCTGGAATTCTTCAAAACATTGACTTGAAAACTGCGGACTATTAACCAACCGAACTACATCTGCGATTTCATAACGCGCGATGATACTTTTTAAATGTCACATTAGTTCTACTGCTAAGACTTTCTAACCTCGCTATGTCAGGCCACTTGGAATAATATTCCACACAAAGAAGATAATGTGTATCACGAAGCTCAAAAAAATCACAACCTACTTTTTCCCACGGACGACTGGGGCTTTCAGATGCAATCATAGGCTCAACACTATTTGTGGGATGTCGCATTTTACAACAACGTCTTCAATCTGCGATGACATCCCAGGCCAGAACAACAGTTCTCTCGCTCGTTGTTTGCACTTATTGATGCCAAAGTGAGGTTCATGTATTCTCCGCCCTGAGAACGTGAGGTACGATCACTCGATCACTCTTAAATAGCCGACCATGCTGATAAGAAATGTCTTCCTTAAAGGTCTAATAATTAACAGTTATTTTGCGAACTCGAGTCGTATATGAGCTGATAGCCGACGAGGCGCGTAGCGCCGAGTTGGCTATCGGCCATATACAATGAGAGTGAGCAGAATAACTGTTTTATTATATACACAAACTTTGTCGCCCTGTCGGTGCATTTTGGTGTGCTATTATCAACTAAAGCTTGGATTTCTATTTCACTCAACTCCCCAAATCTTTCAGCCATTTTGTTTACTTTCTCTACTAGACAGATATGAGCTAATATCTGTCTAGTAGCCTAGTAGTCTAGTAAAATAAAAATGCAAGCTTGTTTTTGTTCAAAAACATGAGAGTTGGACCGTTACTACGGCAACGGTCTAATACTTGGGGATTCCAGACCGGCAAAGAACTAATCAGCGCACGCCATTTTAGTCACGAGACTGCGTGCCATATAATAAAAATTCTTAATTTCCCATTAGGTTTAACAACGGTGACCATACTATATTTACCCATTCAGTAGGCTCAAATACTTTCATCATCACCCCCTCGATCAGCTTCCATGCGATCAAGTTCAGTTTTAACTAAACCCTTTAATGCTATAGAGACCTTTCGAGGTGGATGCATGGATCACTGGGGTTGCATCAGACTGCACCCTAATAGAATATTTTCCGGGAAGACAACCCAATCCTTCCCACAATTCTACGTCTACTATGTTTGTCGTAGTCTGATCTAGGTTAACACCGCGGTTCAGTTTGTTAGGTTATTTCTGGACAGTACTTTAGTTTAGATTATTTATTGAGCTGAGCAAATGTAAAATATTAATTACTTTTCCATAACTAATGATATCCCATTAGTTGAACAAAGATAAACTGCTGCTCTTAATTTGAATCGACAGGTAAACTGGCATTGCAATTAAGATGAAAGTACCCGAATTCGTCCGGTTTCTTCGTGGCCACCCGCAATGAACCGGTTAAATTGTTTATATCAATGTGAACACACAAACCGGACGTTTTAAATTCACGTCCGGTTCTGTGTCAAGGTTGTCTATACAGTTTTTGTATACGGAATTTACTTCTTGATATTTTATCATTCATCTATTGTGTGTCTCATCTGTGGTTTATAAATGAAAACTAACCCTCCTATACGAGCAACGTTGCATGCGGTTAACCAGTTTCAAAACTAGCTATGTTTGTCAGTCTTCTTACATAACAGAAAGATTATATCGTTATTACTACATTGTAGCCAATGCCATTGACATTGTGACTCATTACACTTTAACGTAGAGATGTACATAACTCATAAGACACGTTCGGGAATATGTAAATTTAATTGACCTCAGTGTAAAGCACTTTGCATAAAAATAATCAAACGCAGACCGTAGGCTTTATACCTTGGATCATATAAGTATAACATATAATTATGCGTAATGCTAAATTGAATTATTGTTTAAATAGAAGACAATAATTACGACCTTTAATTTCCAGCGACTTAGATATCATTTTAGCGTATTGCCAGTTATGCGTATATAATTATTAGCGATTACAATAAAGCATCGTATTTCTTTGACTTTGTGCTGAAATGTAACGTGTGTGACTGAGAGACGAACGTTAGTGTGTACAACAACTATATAGTCGACTAACAAACGTTAGTGTGTACAACAACTATAGTCAGTGATATTCAACCGAGATGTAAGAAAACAAAGGTCTTTGCGGGTAAATTTATATCGCGACTGAAAGTAGTAAATTCAGCTTTCCAGACTCCAACTCTCGAACGGCTGCACACACTCATAACCGTTCTGCGTTATATAACATTGAGACTTAATTAAACTGCATGCAGAGCTAAATTTACTGCTATATATCTAATGTAAATGTTTATACAAAATCGTTGCACACTTTAAGGAGATGCCGATAAATTAAACAAAAATCATTAGCGGTCTCCCATTTGCCGTAAACGTCAATTTAGCTTTTCATAGAAACACGCGTGAACCCAAAAAAATGAGGGACAAATTAATCTTTTTTATCAACATTTTGAAGGCTATGTTCTAGAATGCAGCGCCGCAAAAAAAATTAAACAAATCCAAGACCAAGTGCGATCTGGGGTGGACTGTGTCTTAAAATACCACGAAAGTAAATCTGCATGTAGATCGATTAACTACAAAAGAAACTCGCATTGTTAAGAAAATCATTGACATTGTGAGTTACTGAGAAGTTACTGAGAGCAACCTGCAGGAAGTTTGAAGAGGAAAAAGAATTATGACTTATTCGTTGTAACTGCATTTAAAACCGATGAAGTAAGTATGTAAGTATGCTTATACTCAACAATTGTTCATTCTATCGTCAAATTTCACGTTATGTGCGACACGTCCATGGCCTGTCTGTACATGTGCTCTAATTAAATCGTCATTGTCGTTCCAATGGACCTTTTGCATAATACACCAACTTATGATGTAGGTAACAAGAACGAAATAAATCACCACAGATAAAAAGAGCATACCAAAATTAGTATAACTTATAATTGCCAAGTGTGGCTGCAAATTGTCAAGTAGTATGGAAAATAAAGCAATGCGAAATTGGCAAAATTTTTATGTACAAGGACAAAAGAACGTGCCATAAGTTTTGGAAAAAGAATAGCTAGATATATCGCTGACAAAACATGCTAATTTTACAAAATTGTTCTTTATTAACAAACTGCAAACAAGTATTTGAGCCTATCCGATGGCGATTATTGATATAAATTCATATTAGTAATATTTTGTTCTTGCCGACAGCCAATCATTTGAAAGAAGCTTTCGTTTTTAATTAAATATCACGCGTGCAACTTGTGCTAACAATCGCAGATGCTTCAATTTGGTACTGATTATAATATCTTCGTATAGCTACTTATCGTATGTACATTATTGCATAGCTGATTAGATTGACCGACAATTTAAGACTGCGTGTGATGAACCTACATGACTCACTCTCACAATGGCAGTCCTGTTAGGCATCTGTGCGTTAATTTTTCTCATCACAACGCTCCAACTAAGCGAATGCCAGATGAGCATTAATCAAGCAATGTTTCGGAAAAGTCAACAGAAATACTTAGCAAATCATGTCATTAATTCGCAACATGCGAATACCGAGTTGGAATGCTCCATGCATTGTGTTGGTGATCAATCGTGTGCTTCAGTGAATTTTAAAACCTCTGGAACCGGTAAAGGTCTTTGTGAGCTCAACAGTAAGACAATTAAAGCGATATCTTACGTTGATGGGAGCATGAATAACCCAGAATTCAACCATCTTTACAAAGTTAAAGAAGTAAGTATACGAAATGTTAAGCTAGTATATTCTCCCTACAGAATTGAATGTTACATTTTACGAGGAAAACAAAGCCCTTGCATATATTTTGTATTAAAAATATTCTAATCAAGGGGGCTGATCATAGAGGGAAACCTTTCCTGGGAAAATCGTTTTAGAATGTCATGGAAGTTTTAGTCTGGTATTATGAGAGATAAAGGCCGATTGGATTGACCTTGGATCCTACCTGAGCCATGTCCAAACGTTTTAAAATGGCAAATGTGAAATTGCCCGATCTTAACCTCCAAATTTAAGTGAATATTAGTAGCATTTTTATCCGGGCTCAAATTTGTTTCGAATTACATATTAACAAAGCGTGGCGTTTTAAACCGGCGATGACACAAACTGAGCTATAAAAAATTTTTCATGAATTAATATTATATTTGATAGTCGAACAATTAGCCGCGACTAATATAAGTATCTCCTGCCTAGTTCAGTCTACTTTGAACAACTTGTATTTTTGCGAACAACTTCGTCTCTTCCAACCGAGTAAATTAAGGTACTAAATTGCGACTATATGTCACGCAGAATGTCACAGCCATACATATCAGTTTGACTTTACATAATATATAAAGCAGGTGTCTGGTGTGTTTGCCATTCTGTTCTGATCAAGACGGCACACAATATTTTATTGAATACAATTTTCGAATACACAAGATAAAGGTAATATTGTTGATATTACTCAAGTTTTTCAATTTTCAGTTAAAATGGAGCACTGACCTGGTCAGAGTAAAAATTTATTGCCATGCTTCAAATGTGGTATAACAACTGCCTAAAATAGTTTTGATGTTCTTTTGGGCCGAAATTTAAGAAGTTGATCTATTTCATGTCGACATTGTCTAATAAAAAGATGGCACTCTTCATCCCACGGCCATAAATGGAACACTGTCTTTCATTTACCCATATAGTAATATGATTTCAATTTTTTGTTTACATCAAAACTGTTTGTAATATATTTTCGTTCCTGAATCCTGATCAGGTTCCCTCATTGCGGGCTATTCTTAATCAATTCCAATTTGTTATGATTTTTTGTTTTCTATTTGCCCATTTTTATCGCGTGCTTTACCCCCCATACATAGTTCTTCAGAAATCTCCTTCTTACAAAGGTCATTAATGTAGCTTTATCAGTCAAAATATTCAGTTACATAACCACGGTAAAGTGTTCTGTGGTTACGAATTTTCGCTGAAAACTCATCTCAGAAAGGGCGTCGCCTACAAATCTCTCGCTCCCCCCTAAGTTATTGTTCTTGTTGTCTTGGGGTTGACAGTTGACTGCACAGGTGTTACATTACATATTTATTTCGCACTAGGCCTAGAAAAAAAACTTTCAACCAGATATTTATGTGCGTACACGCGTAATGATTATACACAAATTATCACAAAACACTTCTGAATGATGCATTTTTAAATAAGCGAATCAACGGGTGAAAAGTGAAAACATAATAAAATTATTATAGTGAAAAGTTGACTCTGTATGCTGACATGCATGTGAGTTAAAAAAAACAAGCTGAGCTATTATTAAGAGGTAGAGTACATGCCTGAAACCACAAATCGAAGACGATTCCATAAAATCAGGCCCGTTTATTTCAGACGTTGAACTATTCTTACATGTGCGGAATCAAATACAAAAAATTTAGGTCATTAACCATAAGTTTAGTTATTCACTAACCTTTTTAAACTTTATTCGTCGCCCTGAGCTTAAAAAGCTGTTTCCTGACATGAAAAATTATTGAAGCCATGGTAAAGCTGTTTCCTGATGCTAAAAACACAGGATCATTATATTATACTGCTATTCTGGATCGTGTCTTTCAACGTAGCGGTATGTTTCCCAACGACAGTTATTTCATGCCTCGTTTATAAAATAGTGTAAGATAATATAGGAAGAACCCTTGAACCCAGCTCCAAAATTAATTGATATGCGGTAATATATGTGCTCCTCTAGTCATTATGTTTACCCCCGCACTACTTTTGTGTGTAATTGAAAACGCTGTTGATATTGTTTTGTTTGCATGCATTTGTAGAAGGCTTCTGGTGTTCCGCCAACCTCAGGTAAGATTATCATTAAAGAAAGGGAGCAGGCCAAACTATGTTTATGTGTGAAAATGAAGAAAGAGAAATTTGAAATTCATATAATACGTGCTAAAGAGCGATTTTTGATTATTTAATTGTTTAGATTATTTCAATCTAAATAATAAAATTGAAATTTAAAGTTCCAATTTGGCACCCAATAATACATTTTTATGATTGATACTCACATTAAAATTTACGTACATTGCCCCGATTATCATCTTGCCCGGAACGGTTATTCAATCCATGCAGAAATCTAAATTTTCCCATAGAGGAAGTGTGCCTTAAGAAAAAACATGATATTTTGATGGTTGTTGATGGGTCTGGCAGCGTCGGGGAAGCAAGTTTTGACAAAGTCAAAGAATTCATCCAGAAAGTTAACACAAAGTTTGATATTGGGCCAGGAAAGACACAGGAAGCGCTAGTGCAGTTTGGTTCTCCATCAGATACACGAATCGAGTTCAATCTTGGGAAAAAGAAGACGTTGGAAGAAGTAAATCAAGGAGTTGAAGACATCAAATTTCTGAACTCGGGTACTACCGCAACTGGGGATGCTTTAAGTAAAAGTAGAGACATGGTAAAATTTTAATGTTATATTATTATCTCTGCGTGAAAATATCGATTGTGCACATATTACCTGGTAGATAAAAACCCTTGTCTTTTCAGATCAATGTCGGAAATTGACGCTAGAAAGCATGTCAATTAAGGTGTTACGAGGCGTTAAACGATTGCATCTCACAATCGTTTGAAATTAATTTTGAATAATCGTCGCTTTGGCTGCAAGCGTTTAAAAAACATGATATACAGTTTATAACTAGAAATCTGAACAACAGAGAGCCACAGCGCTAAATGCTTCCCATAATTTCAATGCAGGTATTCAACGGAACTGGTAATGACCATCCTGACGCCCCAAACGTCCTTGTACTCTTCACAGATGGCAAAAGCAACGATCACCAGGGTGTTGACTACCAAGTTGAACAAGCAGATATGTTGAAAAATGAGGGTGCGAAAATTATTACAGTGGGAATGGGAAAAAGTGTTATAACAGAGGAACTTCGTACGAAAATGCGGCAAATAGCAAGCACGGCGGCTGATAGTGGTGAGCCTCTGATGTTTGAAGCAAGTTATGCAAATTTCGATTCGATTGCTAATAATATTACCACTGCAATCTGTAGCGTGTGAAGCGTATAAAATATGTGGAATCCTACAGAACTAGAAATCCGTTGAAACATTGTTAGCAACAATCGTATTTATTTATAGCGAACGATAAAACTAGGGAATACATATAATTATATTCATGCGGGTCCCCATTTCTGGGTCACCCTGTTGCAGCTTAACTGCAAGAAAAATTAATATGTAAATTTTAATCTGCACGAACCACACAATATACCAGGTATACAATATACTGTATATACGACAGGATGCATTGGCTAGCGTAGAAATTTTCACCCCCAATGGCCGGATCAATGTAAACATATTGAAATAAGCTATGCGGAACGTACTGTGACTGCAACGTCTATCTGATATGGAAAGTAATCCGGTACGCTACTAATTCAATATCGTGAAACTGGGGTCTTAACGCCGGCCTGTTTACATGGAGCCACTTAATTATTTTTTTTTCTCTCATGAGTCAAACATTCATGTATTATTCAGTTGCATAATATCTATAAATAAATGCAAAATTTAATTATTGTACATGGGTAGAGAGGTAATGATGTTAGAATAAACAAATTCAACTTCGGCAGAGGACATTCAGAAGACCGGCAGAAGACCTTTAATTTCCATCCATTTCATTTATGACATTTATTTTGACTGATAAACACCGCTTCCATGCACGTATAGGAGAAAACCATTTGGCCAGCTATAAAATGCCAGCGACGTAACGCATACCATCGTAGGGTTTCTCTTGATAAAACAAAGTTTTGTATATTAATGCGAGTCTTTGTTCCCGAAACATATCGTCTCCAAAACAAAGGTTTAAGAGCGTGAGAGTGAGGGAAAGTTAGCCTTTTTGGATACTTATATAAGTTCATAGAAATATCGAAAGGCAGTTAGAAACTGATGTTTACTGTAAACCTACACATACAGACAAATATCTATCCTACTACTCACACCATCCAAAAAGTCATAAAAAGTCTGTTGCAAAAAGATTGATTCAAAAGTCATTGCTACTAATGATCGTTATGGACAAAGGCGTTGTTTGGAAGCCTGGCGTATTAATGCGAATCATTTTGAGAGTATATATATATATATATATATATATATATATATATATATATATATATATATATATATATAAAAATATATATAAGGAACTCAGTTTCAACATCAGATCACCCCTGATGAAGACACTAGACCGGAGTGTCGAAACATTGGATCGTGAAAGTTAATCTTTGTGTGGTGATTACTTTCATTTATTAAAACCAGAGTAGCGATAGTTACAATGTTTATATATTATGGGCATGAAGTTCATTCAATAAAAATTCCCTCTTAGGCACTGTTTTTATAGTTTAAACTTTACCGAGATCGCATGGTCGGGACATCAAAATTAGCTTGTCAAAGCGAACTTTACCTGCAAAATATGATAGAATGATTGCTCTTAACATGATCTACCAAATCGGAAAAGTTTTGGGGACAAAGGTACCGTAAAGCATGCATGCAGTAAACGGGGTCTAATGAATCATTTCTATTTGACGCAGATAAAAATTCGAAACATTTCTGGTAGTGATCAATGGGGAATATTATTTCAGCTGGGGTAAACAACAAGTCCTTTTTAAAAAAGAGATTAAAAACCTCAATAAAAATCAAATTAAATTAGCCAAAAATGTTAATTTTTTTAAAAGAGTGCGTTCGCAATTACCAGAATTTTATTAACTTTTTTAATATGATATGTTTTTGGGTAAAATTTTTATTCAATTTAGTTAATAAAAATGCCGCAAATTAAGAAGACGCTTCAGCGAATGAATGGTCGATGAAGATAAAATGAGCATAATTGAATAATAATTACTTTAGTGAGATCATTTTATATAGCAGCATATTCAAAACTTATATCGCCATGCATATACAGTATGGCTGTCTTACAGTTACAGGTCGTTTGGGCGTTAATTTTGATCTTTCAAGTACCAAAGCCGGGTGAATGCCTAAATGTTAGGCAGGGCTTTTTTCGCAAAATTCAAAAAAGGTGCTTAGGGAATCATGTCATCGACACAAAACAGACGGACAATGAGTTAGAATGTGCCATGCATTGCGTTGGGGATGGATCATGCACGTCCGTGAATTATAAAACGTCTGGAGAGGGAAAAGGTTTGTGTGAACTCAACAATTCGACACTCTTAGTGACATCTGGCGTTTGCGAAAGTATGCCTAACCCAGAGTTCGACTTCTTTTACATAGTCAAAAAGGTAAGGAATATAGAAACGAAAACCATTCAGTACTGATTGACGCCGATTCCATTTTTTTTCCAGTAGTTGATGCCCAATTTTCTATACGTATGCGCAATGGACCTTTTGCCTAAAAGACCAACATATGAGCTACGTAACAAGAAGGAGATATAATATCACCACAGTTAAAACGAGCATACCAAAATTAGTATAACTGCAAATTTGCCGCCGTGTTTCACGTTCGCAATATATCCACTGCACGACTGCATACACCCACAGCCGTTCAAGCATTAAATTTTAAACAGCGAACGTGAAACCAATATCTTTTGCCTTTTCTATGTTGAAGCACATACGACAAAGCTGAATTTGCTGCTTTGCTAAATGAATAAAATATTGCCTATAGCTCTCTTAAATTGCCGCTGAACATCATGCATCATAAAAACTACATGCACGGAAATTCAAAATGCAACTCTCCTCCCGTAAGAACTGATTGATGTGAGACGCGAATGAGTCTGGTCGTATGTTTGTTTTCATATAGACATCGCTAAATCCTGTTGAAGTCAGCACAACACAGACAGCAAAAATCATGTCTACAGGTATAGTTAAGGATAGAGTTTTTACCTAATTATCTTCAGCAGATGCTATGAATAAATTCATTTTTGCCCACTGATAAGAAGAAGTCCTTGTGATCGATAATTTCTCTAGTTATCATTTTTCTGATATCTTTTCATCAATATAGTTAATTAGTAATATTTGTGTGAATTTTCACATTATTAACCACTATGCTTATTAAATGTGCGATTTTAAAATAAAAAATATCAGGCGAAAGATGGCCAATTAGGAAAGTAGAATTTAAAAATTTTATTATGCAAACTTTTCATGGATCATTTCGATGCTTTTTTAATTTTCAACAACATTGCTGAGCAAGAAATTCTCAGTTCTAGATTGCGCTCAATTCGCAATGCGGAAAAAAATGTGATTTTCATAAGCGGCGTTTTAGATCACATGGTATTCGCACATTTTTGAAACGCAGTGAAAAGTCACTTAATGTCTAAAATATTCATCAAATATACTTGTGCATACGGCGATGAAATTTACTCTTTTTAACATTTCGCAACTAAACCACAACCATTTTTCGGATACTTAATCTAGCCCTCTTAAAACAGCTAATTTCTTCTCTATTAAGCAATAAGCATGGATTTTTAGCAGCATGGTATAATTATTACTTAGTGACCATGTGGAAACCATACTTTTAGGCAGTATAAATGCGACATATTACAACTTTAGCGCTGTGATAGTGTTACCCACGTATGCACATACCTCGATGTCGCCATCCAGTGTGCCAATATTAACTTCGCCTGGTGTACCTCTTCTAATAACGTCTTCAGTAACGCCAATTTCGTCTGATGTACCTCTTCCAATAACGTCATCAGTAACGCCAACTTTGTCTGGTGTACCTCCTCCAATAACGTCATCAGTAACGCCTCGCTACATTCCAGCGTTTGCCTGCAAGAAAATATTTCAAGAAAACCCGTATGTTCTGCTATTACTAAATACTATATAATTATTGGCTACATAATTTATGTATACTACCACTAAATACTCTAATGACCACATATGTATACTATATCTTGTTTGTTCAGAATTTGCTTTTTACTTTACTTTTTTAAATTGTCGGCTGGTCAGTGTTTTTTATGTATACTACCACTAAATACTATATTGAAAACATATACAACAATATATTTACTGCATGATACTACGACGATATACTATTGTGACTATAATCGCAATCAGATTGGCTTTCACCCACTTGCCTCAGCTGCTATTAAGGCTGTTAAACATTTTTTAAGCTCCAATATAGCCCCCCCCCCTCGAAAAAATAAAATACGTCTCGCCGCCGCCCCTGAACAAGGGAATCGGAACCAAGTCACATCAATCAATTTCTCGCATTGAATTTTTCCAGTTCTTCACCTGATGGCGAATATACAATTTTTGGTGGCACAGCAAGCGAAGCTAGTGTTTTCTGTGACATGACTGGGGCGCTTACTGAATGCCATGGGGGTGGTTGGACTTTGGTAATGAGGATTGATGGAGAAAAGGTACTACTTTCATCAATGAGAAAATGTGTTGACTGCATGCGTTTATTTATAAAGATTGACATTCTTCTATATAGCAAACGTTCGCATACCAGGCAAATATTTGGACTAACAAACAAGTATATCAATCAGATAAAGGCAACGTGTTAGACGACAACTCTGAGACAAAACTATCAACCTATCACACCACTCCTTTCACTAAAATATGCCTTGGTATGAAATACAATAATCAAAAAGGATGGATGATACTGAATCTGACAAGTACATCCCTCTTCGACCTTATATCAAGCAATACATACTACCAGACAACCACTGCTGTTAGCGAATGGCAGGATCTGATACCTTCAGGTGCTGTGCTGCAGCCAAACTGTCGGAAGCAGGGGATAAACGTACAAGTTGGGGGTACCGGTGTTCGTATAGGTATCATAGCAACGAAAGCGTGTGGGGTAGATGGGGATTACAATTCGAGGCTTGGCTTCGGCGCGAAAGGCTCGAGCTGCGGACAAGATGGCAGTAACCGGTGTGGAAATGAGGCCCGCTGCGTCGACGGAGCTCTGAGTAAAAGAGCAGTGGGGTATATTTTAGTCAAGTGACATTGGTATACGATATGTTTGTAGACAATGAATATGACATGCACTTGGATAATTTTAAAAATAACGAACTGATAAGAGCTATTATACATAACCTAGATCTATCGGTAGTATTCAGTTGAAGGAAAAAACCCGAAAGCTACTATATATGACATGCACTTAGAGAGTATGAGACTGTAGCATATATACATATAAAATCGGCAATACAAATGCTATATAATGATGTCAATATTCTATAACTTACAGTACTGTCGAGTATTATTCTATACACTGCGGTTGCAATTAGGTTGCGGTTCGGTTGCAGTCGACCGATAGAAACCGTAGACGACCGCAAGGGAAAAAATACCTTCGCAGTGGCTTCCAAACGAAATATTATAAACAGCTGAGAAGGACAACACAATAACCAAATACAAAAAAAAGTCTTATGAAATGACTGTCAGACCGAGTTAGGCCGAGATTTAACCTCCGCCTAACCGCGGTTAGACCTCATTTCAACCGTGATCAGACGTGATCAAGGTTTGACATATAGGTTAACCGCGGTTTTTGTTAGGTTATTCAGTTCTGGACAGTTCTGTCCTGTATATTTGAAAAGTTAGTGATTCGA